ATATCAGACTGAGAAGAGAGGGCCACCTGGTGCTGAGACTGCACTCAGATAAAGGAGGCGAGTTCATGAGCAAGGAACTAGCCGGCTGGTGCCGACTGAGGGACATTAGAAAGTCCACCAGGACACCGGATCAGATGCAGGAGAACGGAAGGGCGGAGGCCGCAGTTGGGGTCGTGAAATCCATGGTGAGGAGGGTGCTGATAGCATCACGATGGGAACCGAAGTGGTGGCCCTGCATCGCCCGCTACGTCTCGGAGGTGCGCTTCAAGTTTGACCAGACCGGAGACCATCCGAAGTATCAGTTCGGAGAGGAGGTGGTGGTGCCGAAGAGAGCTTGGAAGCAGAAATCCTTTGAGGCGAAGAATCAGCGAGGCAAGTACCTGGCCCCGCTCTATGACATCACCCACGGTCATGCGGTGAAGCTGGACTGTGATAACAAGGTGGTGGCGGTGTCGAAGGTTCTCTCAGGCTTGCGAGAAGGGGAAGCCCCGAGAGCAGAAGGACAAGAGGAGGAAGAGAATCCTGAAGGGGAAGCTCTGTTCGATGAAGCTCTGCGTGTGAGAAGACGGTTGAGGATGAAGACGAGCGACCCGAGAAGGATGGACGATGGTGGTGGTGACAAGGTCGCGGAGAGGATTCGGCTGCTTCGCCACATCATCGTGGAAGAAGAAGAGAGGATGTTGCAAAAATGAAGAAGGGACCGCCGAGATGACCTTCCGGATGGTGCGGAAACTGCGAGATGAGGAGGAGAACCTGAAGCAGATGGTTCCGGATCAGACGGAGGCGGAGAAGATCTTGCACACGAAGATGGTGTCTCCGAATGAGGTAATCTCCGACAAGGAAGGTTGGGCGTCCTCGATTAAGACCGAGCTGGACTCGCTGATGACGGAGAAGCAGGCGCTACGGAGGGTGCCGCCCAGGGAGGCGGAGAAGATGATCCGAGAGAAGGGCAGCAAGCTGTCTGTGGTGCCGGCCAAGGCGATCTTCAGTGTGAAGGCCGGGAGTTCTAGAAGGAAGACCAGATTGGTGGTCTGTGGGAACCACGTGGCGCGGGACACGGAGGCGGAGGGCGACACCTTTGCGGGTGGGACGGACATCACGGCGATCCGCCTGCAGGTCAAGGTTGCGATGGAAAAGAAGTGGACTATGTCCGCGCTGGACATCAAGTCTGCGTTTCTCAATGCGGATTTGCACGAGGAGAAGGAGCCGGAAAACCTGGTGGCGATGAGGCCTCCGACCATCATGGTCAGATTGGGCTATGCGGAGCCGGGCGAGCTGTGGCTGATCGACAAGGCCATGTACGGACTTCGACAGAGCCCGAGGAGGTGGTCTGATCATCGGGATGCGGAGCTGGCGAAGCTGACGTGGGAGGTGAACGGTGTCTACTACAAGCTGGAGCAATGTGCCGCGGAGCAGAATTTGTGGCGGATCTTGGAGGTTGGTGATGGCACCGAGGTTCTGGCCGGTCTGGTCTCTATATACGTTGACGACGTCCTCACGGCGACAGAGAAGCCGGTGCGAGAAAGGTTTGAGGCGGTGATCTCGGAGAGGTGGGAAACGAGCAAGCCGGACGTCCTGACGGAGGAACACCAGATCCGCTTTCTAGGAATGAGCTTGAAGCGGGAGGAGAATGGGATCTTCCTGCATCAGAGCGACTACGTCGAGGAGTTGCTGAAAAGGCATGAGGGCGAGCTGGTGAGATCCAAGACGCCGATGTCCAAGGAAATTGCGGACGAGGCGGATGAGGATCCGGGCCATTTCACGGCCATGGACCTCACGAGAGCTGAGAAGGTGACGGGGGAGATTCTGTGGTTGATGACAAGGACACGGCCGGACCTGCTCTACAGCATGAGTCGTATGTGCAGCATGACGTCCAAGAATCCCAAATGGACGATCAAGGCTGCGGGCTATGTTCTGGGCTACCTGAAGGAAACGAAGGCATGGGGGCTATGGGTGTCTGGAGACACTGGACGACATTGGTCGGGTCATGGCGCCGCCGGATTGCAGGCCTATGCAGATGCTTCGTTTGCGCCGTTGGGAGAAAGGAGCCAAGGATGTTCCTTGGTAGCATGGAACGGCACGGTCATTGCGTGGAAGGCAGGAAAGCAGGCTTTTCCAGCACTGTCAACAGCGGAGAGCGAGCTGATCGAGGCGATCGACAGCGTGATCCTTGGAGATAGCGTGGAGGCGTTGATCACAGACACCCTGGGTATGGACAATTTCAAGAAGATGTTGCTGTCGGATAATGCGGCAGCGGTGGCGATTGCCACGGATGTCACAGGTTCGTGGCGAACACGGCACCTTCGGTTGAGGTCATTCCACCTGCGGTGGAGGATCAGGGCCGGAGATTGGGAACTACGACACTGCCCAGGACAGCAGATGCTGGCAGACCTTGGCACAAAGCCATTGGGTCCGATGAGGATCAAAGAGCTCTGCGACCTGTGGAACCTCAAGGCCATGGGAGAAGAGAGCAAGGTGACCAAGGTGAGCAAGGCGGTGGTTCAGCCGGAAAGGGAGAGGTGGATCCAGTTGCTGGTGATCTTGATCGTGATCACTGGTTGCAAAGCACAGGGCAATAATCCACAGCCGGAGGAGGACGGTGTGGACATCTCCGTGGTGGTGTTGCTGATAGCTGTGGTTGCGGTGGTGATTTACCGCTTGGCTACCGAGGCTGTGTCGGGGCTCCGCCAGGGGATCAGGAGGTTGAGAGTGAGCAGTGTGGAAAGGAGCACTCAGACAGGAGAAGAAGAAGAAGAAGTCATTGAGGTGCCGAGATCGCAGAGCGCTTCGGTGGCACGGTCTTCCAGCTCTACCAGCGGGACTGCCTCAAGGTCAAGTGCAGTGAGGAGGCGGAACGGTGGGAGCACGGGTCAAGCTGAGGGGCAGCCTGCAGACGAGCGAGCTCCCACGGTCGGTTGAGCAGGAGACAGAAGATGAGAGATTGAATGCCAGGTGGCGGGAGGAGCTTCGGGTCATGGAACAGCTCCGGTGGCGGGAGCTGCAGCCGGAACCGGAAGCAGTTGAGGTTTACCACATCACCTCGATGGGTGACCGGATTCACTGGCGACGCAACTGCTATGGGCTCCGGAACGCCACTGTCCGGGGAATGCGGGCGGTGCTGCCGTGTCCTCACCGTTGGCTGGGAGAACGACAGCGAGCACGGGGCGCAAGATCGTATCGTGGAGAAGACGGCTTTCTGCATAGCAATGCTCGATGTGTGGGCATTGGAAGGGAGCCGCTGAACCCTATGCAGCCTTGTAGGTTTTGCCAAGGTGGCGTGACCGGCGAGAACTTTGAGAGAATGCAAGATGAGGGCAGATGGCCCCGAGGACTGATGTGATGCGGCTTGAGCTGGGCATCCTCTATGGCAAGAACGGAGGATGTGAGAGCTAGGAACGTTTTGTCATTTGTGCCCTCTCTGAACACAAAGGGGAGGAGTGCAGGTTTTCAGTTTGAAAAAGGGGTACCCCATCAGTGGCCCCCTGAGCAAGGATAACACGCACAAACCGGTGGCATGGAAGCCGCTTTTGGATCGAGGCACACGGAAAAGTGTGCCATGGGCAGCTGCCTGATTCACAGGGCCGACCAGTATCCCCCCACACCAGTTGGGCGGAACAGCAAAAAGAAAATCCACCCCAGGTACCCTCTTCGGAGGCCTCAAAAGCGTTCAAAATCACTCAAAAACAAGCAAAATCGTGCACTCAAGTCAAAACAAGCCAAAACAGTCAAAAACGAGCAAAAAGCCAACCAGCGGAAGGGTGCAATCAGGGTGCAATTAGGGTGCAATTAGGGTGCAATCAGGGTGCCAAAGGGTGCCAAAGGGTGCAAAAGGGTGCAATCCAAAAATCGTGCAAAAACACGAAAAAACGGGCACAGTTGGGCGAGCCAGTATCAAGCGTGGGTTGGGCGAGCCAGTATCGAGCGCGGGTTGGCGGACCAGTATCAAGCCCCCAGCGGGTTGGGCGGACCAGTGTCAAGCCCAACCCGTGGGGTGTCAAAATCTCAAAAAAGACTTACTGTCGTTCAACTTCGTTTTTGACGGCAAATGACAGTGCCAAAAAACTGGCAAAATCTTCACATTGTTCGACGCCGGCGCCGTCCCAACCCGCCGAAGATTGCCCGGCCTCGGCACCGTCCCCGCTCGGGAGACACCCCTGGACCATCGGTGGCCCTCAAAGCCGGCTAATTTAGTACCCTGTTTGGAGGCCTCAAAGCGTTCAAAATCACTCAAAAACAAGCAAAAACGTGCAAAAAAATGTGGACTCAAGCCAAAACAAGCAAAAAACATGCAAAAACGAGCAAAACCCCAACCAGCGGAAGGGTGCAATCAGGGTGCAATTAGGGTGCAATCAGGGTGCAATCAGGGTGCAAAAGGGTGCAACCCCAAAATCGTGCAAAAACAAGCAAAAACGGGCACAGTTGGGCGCGTGTCAAACGCGGGGTTGGGCGAGCCAGTATCAAGCCGGAACGGGTTGGGCGAGCCAGTGATCCTACATGCCCGCCCGGCACCGTGCCCGCTCCGCACGTCCTACCGTACAGTCAAAAAAGAACCGCCCCCAGCGCCAGACCCGGACCCGTGCTTCCTCGCCAGGATGGTCCGGCCTCACACACTCGGCAAGCCTGACAGGTAAAAACTTCGGGGGTGAACCACATGCCGACTTAAAGCAAAAATCATGCAAAATCTTGCCATGCCAAATTCAAGCAAAATCATGCGTTGCGCAATGCACAGCATGATTCGGACGTAAGCTGACTGGCTCGGACATAAGCTGATTGGTTCGTACATAAGCTGGTTTGTTCGGGGATGGTGTTTGCAGCTCGATGAGGCGCTACTCCAAACCGCTCAATTGTTTCAAAACGCAAATCCAATGTTGCTCCGGAACTGTATTTTCTAATTCCAAAAAAACATGATGGACTCAACAATATGTTTCCAAGTAGAACTCTTGACATTCACACTGTATTGACGCAAAACATTCATCTATGTTCATCTTGATTTCTCTTTTTGCCACCTCTTCTTCATAGCGTATCTGTGTCTGCAAACTCTGTATTGTTGACGTGCAAAATTCGGAGTACACTTCATCCATCTTGCAGAAAAAGAGTTCACAGAACTCTGTGCTGGCTGTGCTGGGTGAAACTTGACTGCTTCAATCCGAGTGGGGTTGGACTGGTCTTACAACATCAATTGTTCTGCTCTTGCCATGCTCATGCTCAAGCAAAAGCATCGTCTGCCAACCACCCCTGCGAATGTGTATCGAAACGCGCTGTTCTGAGTGAAACTTGAAACTTGAAGTGCAAAGTGCAAGAAACCATATTGCTATGGTACGAGGTAGCCGTAAGGCGTCTCTTCCGTGGAAGGGCGCAATGCAGCTCTCATCTTCTCCTCCTCCTGCCACGTGCCTTCGGTGAGGTGGACAATCCGGAGCTTTGAAGCTGCAGTTGCCAATTTTTCCTTTTCTGTGATGACCTCCTTCAGGAAGCCGATGTTCTCCGGCGCAGGCTTGATTGGCAGGGCATTGCCCACCAGCTTGTACTCGCCGTTCTCCTCCTTCAACTCTCGCACCCAGACCATCTCTGTCTTCGCAGGCTGACCTTGGCTCTTGCAACTGACAACCCATGAACTGAATGAAAAAACTGACATATCCCCTAAAAAAACGGGCAAAACACCGGAAGACCGACAAAAGAAGGCGGAGCAAAGCAAGTGCAAGGGGCTGGTCTCAGCTTTGGGAGACAGGTTGATGCTCTTGAGCGACTGCACGCTGTGGAGCTCAGGTTTGCCATCGTCTTTGAGCACCAACCTTCTTGCCACAAGGTCGCAGTCCACGTTGCAGGTGTTGATGCGTTCGATGCCCTTGCTCTTGACGTGGACGGTGTATGCGGTGTGGGCGATGTTGGGAACTAAGCCTATCAGTTGCACCTTACCGGCTTCAGTGTTTTTCAAGGTCTCGAGCATCTTGTCGCTGTCGTTGCCGATGATGTAGAGACCCTGGTGATTGGCGTTCTTGTAGTTCGCCATGTTCTTGAAGCGCAAAAGGTGCTCCTTGATTTTTTTCTGCCCGTGGGCATGCATCACACCCTCCAAGACAAACGTCTCCTTCTCAATCCGCACGACGCAATCGGGTTTGCCTTCACCAGCGCTTGAGCTGTGGAATTGGAGGTCACGGTAGTTCAACTTCTTCCACATTGCCTGAAAGCACTGGTTGTACTGGACTTCGTGAGGTAGCAGCTTTTTTGACAATGAGGAACACACCACTTCGGCAAAGAACGCGTAGGGTAAGGCTCGCAGCAATAAATCAGCACAATGTTGGGGATTGCTGGACTCAAACTGAACCTCTAAAGCGCATATTTTCGCCAGAACGAAGCGGTAGTACGAGGCCAGTAGAGGGTTCGCCACTTGGTATATCATGTGTGCGTTGTTCCAATCCAGTTGTTGGAACTCTTCCTCAATGCATGTGTCATGTTTGGGAAGTACAAAGCCGTGGATGGCGAGCTCTCTCCGAACTTCCGCCGTTGCAATGCGGCTTGGCCCTTTGCACAACAGCTCTGCAAACTCTTGCGGAGTGTTGCCGACAGAGCTGTACCTACCATTGACACGCACTGCACGGCTCTGTCTCACCCACGCTAAAATCTCTGTGTCAGTGACCCAATCCCCATTGCCATAGCTGCTGCGCACAAGCTCCACAGTCCTTTTGAATTCCCAGCTGTCACCGTTCTGCTTGCCTTTCACCCAGTGCATCGCAGCCATGAAAATGCCGCGATGCCCACCACAAAAGAGGGCGAGGAACTTGATGCTCTTCTCGTCCAGCTTGACGCCACTGTCCTTCAGCTGTGCTTTCAGCCCTGGAATGAGGGGCAGCGGTGGTGTCCACATGAACTTCCGGCTGGTTTCATTGGGTGTTGCCTGGATGAGGTTTGACGCAGTTGAAGCATCACCTGAAGCTGAGAACAGTAAGACCCGTGGTCGATAGTGTCTGCTTGTTTTGAACAAGTCTGAGCATAGGTCTGGTGAGCGGAAAATTGTGTGAGCCTCATCATAAATCAGGGTCAAGTTCTTCTCCTTGGCTCGCCTCAGCGCATTCCTGAAGGCTGAACCATCTCCGTCAACTCTGCCTGTTTCCTTTTGCACGGCTTCCACTGCGCTCGCCCTCCAAGCATCGGCATTACCATGTTCAGTGAAGGGCACATTTACATATTTGTCAGGGAAGCGCGCCGCCAAGTGTTCTGCCAATGTGGTCTTGCCGATGGCGACGCCGCCGCGGATGAATACAAAATCATGGTCTCCTTCAAACAGTTTCTCAATTTTCTCAGAATAATTTTGTAAGGAAATGAAAACATGTTTGTCTTCCTCAGCCACCTTTCCAATGGGTGGCAGTTCTCGCGGCTTCTTAGGCGGTGGTTCTTTTCCAGCTCCTGCAGGTCGCTTCATGGCAGAGGACAGCTAAAGTGTCTCGCAATTTGGGCGCGGAATGTGTGCATGATGATGATAACATGGCAAACAGTCTATCAAAACATATGGTGCGCTGTATCTCATGAAGGCTGCGGCTGACTGCTGGAGTGATGAACCTCAACTCAGTGGGTTTGTGCCAACACCGGCGGCAACGAAGACATCAACTCTCATTCCATCAAGCACCTGCGCAATGCCTGTCATGATCGATCAGAACATGACCTCCAAGGGTGTCATCATGTCGAATCGCCAGAAAGTATGGGATCTTGATCACTCCCAAAGAAGTCGCACCCCCGCATGCACAGTGTTTTCCAATCTGTGGGCTGCCAGCCATGTCTTCTGACCCAAAACCACTTTGCATTTCTCCGATCCAAGGCACCATGATGTCTTGTGGCCTGACGAAGGCCCGCAAACACATATTGGTACGTGGTTTTTTTGAGGATTTTCTACCTTGATGTAAAGGGAAATGAAAAGGACACCCATGTTGGGAGTACCCCCCCTGTTTGGACACTTATCTCGCTACGGCTGGTAGCAGGGCACAGACAAGGCCAAGCAACACCAGCAAGCAAACAGCATCCCCAGCGTTCCTGAGCTGGGCCAGTCAAGCTTGCATCCCCAGCATTCTCGAGCCGGGGTGTGTGGAGCCGGAGGGGTGTAAAGACCATATTTAAAAATCAAACTTCGATCGTATATATATATATATACATCAAATCTCCTCACGAGAAATTTGACCTGGTGTCATATTTGATATACCTTCCAGTTAAAAGAACTTCATCACCATTCAGCATTACGCATCCTTCTTTTTTCCTCACTCAGAGCAGCTTGGGGATGTTGGCGCGTGAAGCTGCGCGACTCCCGCGATGCCAAGCAGGACTTCATCCACTATGGCCTATCTGACCGCCACTGTAACCCCCCCCCCCACTGCCGGTGAGGGCGGCGTCGAGGGCTGCCGTGGTCACGGCGTCCAGGAGGGCGGCTGCAATCTTCGAGTCCACCTCCGAGGAAGTGTCGACGGCCGACTGCAGTGCGTACGCGGTCAGGGCGCTGGCGTCCGCCTTGGAGGCTTGCAGGCCCGAGATGGAGGCGTCTCGGCTTGCGAGCTCGGAGGTCAGTGCTGCGGCGGACACGACGCCCAGGAGAGCGTTGGCCACCTTGGTGTCGACCTCCAGCGGCGTGATCCTCGCCGCTATGTCTAGGGGAGTGCTGGTCCACCACGGTCTTGAGGCCGTAGTTGGCGGCCACCGTGGCCAGCGTGGCGTTGTTGGCCGAGGCGATGGAGCCGTTCATGGCCGCCGTGGTGCTGTAGTTGGACAGCTTCAGGTCCACGCCGTCCGGGGTGCTCTTCGTGGCCACCACGCCCTCCAGCACGTCGAAGGCCGACTGGTCTGCCTTGTTGGAGAGACCCGTGGTCAGCGAGCTCTGCAGCGCGGCGATGCTGCTTCCGTGCGCGGCCACCTGTCCGTCCGTGGTGGCCAGGGCCGCCGCCGTGGCCAGGGGCGCAATTGCCGGCGCCAGCACGCTGCTGTCCAGCTTTGAGGCCAGCTCTGCGGTGACTCTGTCGTCCAGGGACTGGATGGCAGCCGCGTTGTGTTCACCGCCAGGTCCGTTACTTGCGCGTAGGGCGTCAGAGCCAGGGCCAGCTCCCCTGCAGTGACGTGCGTGCTGTCAGTTACCTCTCCGTTGTCCAGGACCTCCGGGATGTTGCCGGTGACAGGTCCTTCAAACATGTTTACATATGTTTTCGCCGAAATGATTTGACCGATGGCGCCGGTCAAATCGTGACACAGCCCGTGGGTGACCTGAAAGCAGGCCCGCACCAGGCCCGCACCAGGGTTTTTTTTCGGAAGTAGCGTGGCTGCAATGTGACTCCAATGATTTGACCGGTGGCGCCGGTCAATCGCGAGACCTGCGCACGACAGTTCGAAAGCACAAGTGGCACTTGTGCTTTCGAAGTCGTTTCAATGCGTTCCAGGCGAGAGTTGCGGCAGGTGGCAGGCTGGCTTCTATGCCGGGCAGGTGGCGCGCTAGGTATCGAAGCCACGTCGGCGGGCTGGCGCGGCTCCGATGTCGGGCAGGAATGTGATGCTGGAAAGCATAAGTGGCACTTATGCTTTCGAAGCGGCCGGGTGGGAGGCTCCGATGCCGGGCAGGTTCGCCGAAACTTTAGACAGTTGTCGGCTTAGACGACAACCTCGACATTTTTTTTCCCTGGGAAGAATTCCGACCTTGGCGCGGGCTCGGCAGGGCTCCGATGCCGGGCAGGTGGCGCGGCCGGGTGGCGCAGCGCCAATCCGTATGACCGTCACGGTGTAGGGTTTTTGGCCTCGGAACTGGAAACAGGCACGGACCATTTTTTGGTCGTTGCCCGCGTGGAGTTCAGCTACTAAGAGTCGTTGGGCGAACCCGTCGGCGGGCTGGCGTGGCTCCGATGCCGGGCAGGTGGTGCGGCGGTGCGTTCATCCTGCTGGCCTCCGGTGGTCTCTGCCGCGGCGGGCGGGCTGGCGCCTGTGGGTTTTAAACACAGCTGCCTCTACTCTCATCTTGAGACCATGGCCTCTCCGGCGCGCCCGCAAGCCTGTATGGTTTCGCAGCGAGACCTGCTCGAGATGTGGGAGGCCGACGTTGCTGTCTGGGACTGCTGGTTCGCAAACCAGAAAAGGCTGTACGACGCCCAGAGCCAGGAGTGGGTGCAAGAAGAGGAAGAGCGACGAGAGGAGGAGTCGCAGCACAAGCGCCGGCGCACAGATGCCGGGATGGCAGAACACGCGACGCGGACCAACGCAGCGTGGCTCAAAGACAGGATTGACGCCCTCCAGCGTCTGCTCAAAGTCCAAACCGACGGCATTCAGGGGGTGCTCAAAATCCAGACCGACGCCGCCGCCTTGAGCCGGTTTGCGAGCGCAACCGACGTTCTCCGTGAGTGGCTCCCAGACGAAACCGACGTCCGTCGTGATCAGCTCTTGACCGACACCATCAACCTCGAGGCGCGGTTCAAATTCAAAACCGACGCCCTGCATGAGTGGCTCGGAGTCGAAACCGACGCCCTCTATGACCGCATCGTAGGCGAAGAAGTCATCACCTTCCATGAGCAGCTCAAAATCGAAACCGACCGCCTGCATGAGGCATGAGCAGATTAATATCGATGTCGGTCGCCTCCGTGAGATGACCCAATTCGACGTCGACGCCCACTGCGAGCGGCTTGTGAGCAGAATCGACGCCCTTTGGGGCCAAACGGGAACGCCGGTCTGAGGGGCTTCGGAGCAATCCTGTTGCGAGCCCAGGATTGAAGGGGCAATCCTGGGGTGACAACAGGATTGAAGGAGGCAACCCTGGGGTGATTGCAGGATTGAAGGAGGGGTGACAACAGGATTGACGCCAGGCTCCGATGCCGGGCAGGTGGTGCGGCCGGGGTGGAGGCTTCAATGCCGGGCAGGGTGGCGCAGTGCCAAGCCGCCGAACCCTCACAGTCCCCCGGCTCCTTGCTATACGTCCTATATGTGCTATATGGTATAGAAGCCCGGTATCGAAGCCTGCCCGGCATTGAAGCCCCCACAGTCCCCCGGCTCCTTGCTATACGTCCTATATGTGAGTGTGGGGGTTCAGCGGGTTGGCGCGGCTTCAATGCCGGGCAGGAACGTGGCGCGCTCGGTATCGAAGCCTCCACGTTGGGCGAGCCAGTACTCAGGGTCGTTGGGCGAACTCGTACTAAGGGGTCGTTGGGCGAACCCGTACTAAGGGGTCGTTGGGCGAACCCGTACTAAGGGGTCGTTGGGCGAGCCAGTACTCAGGGTCTGTACAAGTGGCGGAGGCAGTGGGTAGGACGTGCCAAGCGGGCACTTTTGACGTGCCGAGCAGGCACAGCACATAGGGATTGGCTCCCCCAACGACCCTGAGTACTGGCTCGCCCAACATGGCCTGCCACTTTCACAGTGGCCCCCTCCACTTGTACAGTGGCCTGCCACTTGAACAGTGGCTGCACCACCTGCCACTTGTACAGCGGCCGCCACTTTCACAGTGGCCCCCTCAACTTTCACAGTGGCCCCCTCCCCCGCCACTTGTACAGTGGCCGCCACTTTCACAGTGGCCCCCCCCACCCCTCAACACACGACACGACAGCGTTCGTCTCCTCGAGCTCGGCGGCGTCACCTTTCCTCAAGACAGGGTGCATTCGAAAAAACCATGTATGTCATGCAAAACCATGCAAAACCATGTCATGCAAAACCATGTCATGCAAAAACCATGCAAAATCATGTCATGCAAAACCATGCAAAATCATGTCATGCAGAACCATGCAAAATCAGGTCATGCAAAACCATGCAAAATCACACCGAGCAAATGTCATGCACAAACCATGCAAAATCATGCCATGCCAAAACCATGCAAAATCGTGCAAAACAAGCTAAACTGCACAGGCGCGGCAGGGTGGCTTTGATGCCGGGCAGGGAATGTGGCGCGCTTGGTATCGAAGCCTCCACGTCGGCGGGCTCGCGTGGCTCCGATGCCGGGCAGGTGGCGCGGCAGGGTGGCGCAGTGCCAAGCCGCCGTATGACCGTATGACCGTATGATCCGTATGATTCGTATGACTCGGCGGGCTGGCGTGGCTCCGATGCCGGGCAGGTGGCGCGGCAGGAATGTGGCGTGCTAGGTATCGAAGCCTCCACGTCGGCGGGCTGGCGCGGCTCTGCCAGGCAGGAATGTGATGCTGGAAAGCATAAGTGGCACTTATGTTTTCGAAGTGCCTTGGAACTGGAAACAGGCACCAACCATTTTTTGGTTGCTGCCCGCGTGGAGTTCGGAACTGGAAACAGGCATGTCCCATTTTTTGGGACATGCCCGCGTGGAGTTCCGCGTGGAGTTCCGCCGCAGACTGCGCGAACTGCGCGAACTGCGCAGCGACTGCAGCGACAGCTGCAGACTGCGCCGCGCGAAAGCGCGAACACAGAACATAGCACCTCTCTCTTTAGAGGGGGTTTCCCAAATGG